CTTTATGACAGTGTATTTCCCCACCCTCCAAAGAAATGGCTTGTGCTACCTTTTTTACTTCTTATTTTAAAATTCTGCCCTTTCTTGTGTTATACTCACCTCTCCATCTAGGCTAAGATATCTCAAACATATCAGGACTCCAGAAATATTTGCTTTTTAAAAGTCAAGAACCTGGTTTCTACTTCTTTTTAGTGGAAAAACTAGTAGGGGCTCCTGCACTGTGTAAGTAATAAGGCTTACTGATGCTTTTTAGAACATTGGCTAAAATATTAGATCCTTAAGGAGATTTCCCCATCTTTCTGTTTTTTGTTTTTTAATGGGGGTAATGCCTGAGTAACTCCCATCCTCAGCCTTACTGGATGGCTTGTTAAATCTTTTTAAGACTCTTACAAAGATACAACTCAAATTTCAGGCCTCTTGAAAAGTACTAGGATAGTTAACAATTTGTAATTCTATATTTTCTGCCTAACATTCTAGCTAGCACAATTACCTAGAGCTTAAAATCTATTATACTATTATGCCAAGTCCCTTGATGACATAGCCACATAGCCCCATCCCAGAGTCATCCTACCTTTAGTGCAGACCTGAAGTGTGTTACTTTTCTGTGTCTAGGTGTTATTTGCAGCTGCATATTTTTATGTGATCGTTTCTGCTGTGCAGAAGTAAATTACTTTTTGGTATATCTGGCGAAAGTAATGTTCTTTTAAAAAATTCACACAGATTTGTGGTCCCCATAATCTTGGTGAATACACCAAAGAAATCTGTTTGTTCTTATTTTGATATTGAAAATATGATAGAGAGTGTGATAAGGCCAGATTCATTCACTCCTTTTGTAAGTGCTAGAATATAATAGTTAATCTGTCCATACACATCCTCCAATTACCTCCTCAATTCCTGGTAACAGCTACAACCTCATCTTTCATTTTTATTACCTACCAGTTAATTGCACTAATAGGTTTTGCTTTTCATTTCTGTGTGGTTTTCATTAGAAACAGTGGCAAGTGTTAACTCTTTTTCAGGCTTTGTGCTTAGAGGAGAGCAAGGAAAATAGATTTTTTTAAATTTTCTTGTAATTGCGCTTGCTAGCATCAAAATTCCAGATGATTACTTCTAATTTTTACTTTTTTTAGAAAAGAAGAGGCTTATTTGGGACCAATAAATTATGCCAGGTAAGGAATATTGGTAGCTAGTGCTATCTAGTAGGGTTTTTTCCTTTTTTTTCCCTAAAAAGCTTCTTTAATATTATTTCCTGATAAGCCATAATTTTCTCAACTCATAGTTTTTTGCCGTGTGAACTTACATGAACTAATTTAATATGACTAATAAGCTGTAAGAATTTAAAAATATTTTTGAAAGCACTTATTCATTTTTAAAAACCAAATGTCTATGAAATGGCAATTGAATTTTAAAAATGAGAATTTACCGTGTGATTGCAATACCTCCCATAATTTGCTGAGTATTCTACAAATGGAGTCATCACGATGTACATGTGTAGCTTTGACTGTACTAAGTTGAATCGCTTTCATTTATCACACTTTAGGATTTCTGAGAATGTTTTTATTCATCCTGAATGTTTTATTCATCCTAAAAAATGATGGTTGAATAAAAGAATTAATGATGGCTTAGTTATATACATTTCATTATGACCACAGAGAACTACATTCAACTAGTGGAGGAAAAAAATTAATATAAATTAATATCATAGTTATTTTATCTAACTTTTAGAGCACTGTAGGAATGCTAAGAACAATTGAGTTTTACCAGTTCATACTTTTAAGAAAAAGGTAGCTGACAACCTCCTTTGTCACTGTCCCAGTTGGAGCCCCCTGAAATAACTCAGGTATTTATAGTTATGGCATCAGATGGCAAATAGGAAAACAGAACGTCGGCTTGGCAGTGTTTCAAGATATCAGAAAAACTGGTGAATGGAATAGTCGCTTTTATATCATCTAAAGTCTTCTTTTAACTGAATCATATCCCCACCAGTGACACTAGAATATAAAAACATTAATGGATTTTTCTGATAAACAGCAGAGGAATAGAAAAGAGGTTTATAGCAGAAGAAAAAGTAGGTGTTTCCTAAAACCTCGAAGGAAATAGAAAATCAAGGGTAAAATAAAGAAAATCTGTTCCAAGTGAGAAACACGAGGGTAAAATTTTGAGATGCTACGTCATTCAAAGGATGGAAAGGCAGTGAGAGTTAATGCCAGGTAGCAAAGAAGGGATAAAGGGCTGGGCTTATTTGATTTTATGAGAAAAAATAGAATGAGTGTGTCTAAACTAGAGAAGCTAATTCTGGTGAGAGGTTCATGAAGAAACGTCCTTAGCTTGCATTTCGGAGAGCAGATGGCTGGGAACCTGCCTGCCTTTCTGTTCGGAGTGTTCACTACAACTCACCTTTCAGCATAGAGAGCTCTGAGCCTCCAGAACAAGAAAGCATATTTGAGGTGGAGGTGGTGTAACTGTGAAATATGAGCAGCCTTATTTTTAAGGCTGTTGGCTAACAAGTTGAAAAGCGTAAAGGGAACATAGTCAAAGATCTTGCTGAAGTTGTCAGTCGAGACCATGGTTTGCTAAAAACTTGGAACTAGATTTTTGTAGATCTGTCCTTTTGTCTGTGTTTCTTTCTATATTGTATGAGAACAACTAGGATATGTGCATTTATTTTGACTGATGGCAACTTTAATTTTTATTGTTAATTTTCAATATAAGTTTTGAAAGAAGTAATAGGAAAGTATGCATTAAAACTGATTTCATAGTTATGATCGTTTATGTCTTATAGAAGCCTATTTGAATTTCAGTCAAATTAAAGAAAAAATATCAGTGTATGGATATGGTGAAAATAATAAAAGTGCTATGTAGAAAACTGGTAGCTAGGAAAGAGTCATACAGTTAAATCTCATGTAGTTCACACATTGCCAAAGGGAAATGTTTTCCAGAGCCTGGGAACAGAAAGTATCTCAATAAAATGTTCCTGTTTTTATAAAATAGTGTAGTTTTTGTATCCTGCCAACACAGCCTATTTTATTTTTAACCCTGTCCAAACTGATTTGTCGCCTCTAGGAATTGACTGAAAGTATAGTTTCACATTTTGCTAATGTATGGATAGACTTAAGTGCACACATTCGTGGGTAAATTAAGAAAACGAACTAGGGTTTTATTTTCTTTTTGAAATTTTTCTTTACCCCATAGAGGATTTTTAAATTATTTTTCTAAGGAAATAACATTTCATACAATTGATTATGACCTTCTTAAAAATTGATCCCCAAATTTTTCTTTTCTTTTTCTTTTCTTTTTTTTTTTTTTTTTTTT